TGGGGGAAAAATTTAGAAGGCTGCAAGAGGCTGAATTTTTTTTTTTTTGTGCTACTTGATTGAATGCATGAACCCTTTGTGCCTTTGACCATCACTACCTAATAATGCTACATTTAACCATTTGCAGCCCATTTGGACTTTGCCATTTTGTTCAAAGAGCAAGCTTCATCTTCAGTTTGATAGAACACTTGATCTGCTAGAGTGTGTTAGAGGCCAGGAGGGTCTCTGCTGTCAGCAGATCGCATCATACTGCTTTCAGTTACCACGATGGGGGAAGGTCAAACAGTGTTTGATCAGTGAAAGATAATGAAAGGCTAAGTTTACATATCCAGCCACTGTTATGGGCCACACTAAGCCACTTTGAAGGTTTTAAAAACTAGTACAAGAAGAAAAAAAACAAAACAAACAACAACCTCTCTAGCCTGGCTTGTAATAGATGCAGCAGGATTTATGCACGTTCTGCAACCAACCATTAGAGAAGAAAAAAAAAAGTGTCAAAAGGCAGGGATAACAGGAAAGTTACCAAATTTTTAATTTCCGAATGTAATTTGAATGATGATTGTGGTAATAGTGACACATTCAAGTTTCTACAATAAACTTCAGTCTACCTCAGTTTAAGAAAAAAAAAATGTGGCAACACATGGTGCATAAAGACTGCTGTGTGTGTGTGTGAGCGCGTGCGCGCCTGTATGCGTGTGGTCGACAGAGCCATGCTATTACCTCTGAACCTTTTTTTGTGATGTTTTTTGTGCATGAGATGATCAGAATCACCATGCTGCACTGATTTGAGGGGCACAACGAGCAAAAACATTTGTTTCATCATTTTGTTATCTACCTCTTAGGTTCATGTTGAAATAGAGGCATTACTACATAGACTAGATAATTTTTCCCAAAGATCATTGTTGTACAGATTAGATAATTTTGAAAATGGTCTGAAGTGTTTTTCCTGCATCTCTTCTTTACTAATTGGTTTAAAAACCACAAACTTATGTTGTAGTTTTAGCAAAGAAAAATGAGTTTCTTTTCCTTTTTTGACAGTGACCTTCATCTAGCCTTTAGGATAATTTTTTTTCTTACAATGAATTTAAAATTACTGAAGTATGAAAAGTCATAGCATTTTAATTTTTGTTGAGGCTTAAGTCAGTCTGACGTTCCTTTCTTAACATTTGAGGAGGATTTGACTTCATTATTTTCCATAAAAATTACTTTTACAAATAGGCGCTGCATTTACATCTGCTGATTTAAGTACTGCCATCTCTTAAATTTCTAGACTTAGTATGGTAAATCATGTTTTTGTTTTCAATTGAGACTTGGTAATTTGGAGTATTTGGGATTAGCTAGAAAGTAAATACTGTAAATGATTTCAATATCCACGAAGTATGGATCATTTTTCATCTGTAATGTGCCCCCCAATGCAGCTCCACTTGCCAGATGCCTCTGAATGGAATAAAGAGTTTAACTCCTATCATCAGATGAAGTTGTGTGGTGTTTTTTTAAATTGATGAGGCACAAGGACAGACTGCTGTAAGTATTTGTGGTACTTAGATCAAGTTGGCTCTCTGTCCGTAATAATAACTGGATAAGGATGAACCATCACCCACAGGAATTCCATAGCTGCTAGGACATCCAGCAGCCAGGTTGTAATGTTTACACTTCCCAATTCAAGCAGGGACTTCTCTGACTTATAATTCATCTTTTTCCTCTCATACAACAGTGCTATACAGTCTGCAGCACAGCCTTTGGTTAGCTCCTGGTTTCAGACCTATGCAGATCACTCAGGCTGATGTGCTGTGGAAATAATCTGTACTCAGCAGTTTTGACCCACGGCTAACATGAAGGAATCTTCAACAGGTTTGAAGTGAGATCTGAGTTGCACATTTTGGGGGTTTTCTGGCTGCTTTTTATCCAGTCTTTACTTTGGTGCTGAAGCTGTGTAACGTGGCACTAGAAGCTTAGATATGCAGAACCAGTCACACTAGCAAGCAAATGTGATGGCAACCTAACCTCACACCTACCACCACCACCCCCCAACCACAGACCACTCACCAGTGGTATTGCCTCTCCATTTAGATCCTTGTTAACATTATTTGGAATAGAAATGAGACTAGAAGTTTTTCTGAATGCTTCAGGGAGAGGGAAGGGTTGGGGAATGAAGAAGCATCATGAATAATATAATTCAGTGTGTTATTCATGAATAATGTAATTAAGAATGTAAAAACAAACTAATTTTCCAAACTCCTGCACTCTCCCACTTGTTTTCACAGATCATTTACTGGGACCAACCAGCAGAAAGAGAGAATTGAAGCAGTGTCAGTGGAAGACACTGCATATGGTGGTGCATTTCACAGGGAACTCTTAAGCTCATTTTTTCATGCCACTATTGAGCTGTCTTCTGAGAACTGGCTTCCCTGCCATTTGAGCAGTATAAAAAGTTAAGCCTTCATCTGTATCACTGGTGCGTTAGTGACAGCTGAACCCCTGACTGTTTTAAGCTTTTACTTAATCAAGATGCTTCTATTTGCTTCTAACCTTCCAAAGCTTCCGTTCCCAAGCTGCAGGTTCGAAGGCATGTGCTCTCTGTGTTAGCTTCTACTAAATGAAGCATGTATGCTGTGCAGGGCAGCACAGTCTCCATGTGGTACCAGGGCACAGGATTTTTAAATTGACATGAAGAATTGTGGAGTAAGCACTGAAGCTGGGGTGTAACAGATGTTAGCTCAACTGATGGATGCAAACACTGCTTAACAATCAAGTGACTCATACAATGCAGGAAATCAGTGAAATTATGAGTAAAGTTCCACTGTGATAATTGTTTCTCCTGTTCTTCCCATCATTAAGGGAACCTGCATGTACCTCTGTACAGAAGGACAGATGAATCTATAGACTCAAACATTCCCAAATGTTTTCCTTCCCAAAGGAGTTTAGTGTTGCACAGTACTGATCATCCAGACTGCCTTTGTTGATGACCCTTCTAAGAGGGTCAGACCAAAGGCTCAAGTCAGGCAGGTAACCTGCTTGGGACATCACGTTAGCTCAGTATAGCTTAGGACAGTTCCTGTTAAATGGGGGATGAGGAAGTGTTTTTCCTGCATTAGCAGTTCTGATTATTTAATAGCAACCAGTAGATGTTCCCTATAACTTTTTCACAATGTGCTTTGGCGACTAATTGTTATACCTTGTTTTTACTGGTTTTTGTCTCATCAGTTCATTTGATGTTTTTGTCTTGTCTTACAGACTATTACCCCTTTCCAGCTTCAACTGTCCTAGTCTGTTCACATAGAAGCTCTTCCCTATCTCTTACTGCTCTTTCCTGGGTGCTTCTTTTGCTACTGTGCTCTGTGAGACAGGATGCTGGATGATCTGGATACTAAATGTGGGTTCATGTAATGGTGCAATGTTTGCTGAACCTGCCTCCATTAATCTAGTTTCACTTATCTGCAGCAGCAGGAAAAGGCAAACGGTTTCAGGGAATGATCTAAAGCTACTCCTACTTATCCCTCCTAGGAGGAAATGGCTGATTTAGAACCCATCAATCTAAGACAGCCAAGGTTGTCTTTCACCCATGTGGGTCACTTATTGACTGGTATCATGAAGCATTCCGAAAATCTTTCTTTGATGCCAACACCTTTATTTTGTGGGCAAAGATGTTTTATCTGCATAGTTTAAATATATAATAAATGCTCCTTATTAATTTGAAGAACCATTTGCTGCCTTGTATCAAAAAGCAGGTGAACTGAGGGGCAGTTATTCCTGAAAGAACGGGGAGGCTAGACACAGCAGGAAAACATGACCAGTCAGAAATGGAGAGAGTATTTTGTTGTAAAAACAAACACCTTTGCCCTCCTCCCCAAGCAGCACAACTAAAGATCACTTTTTTTGAGCACTACTAACAGCAGCTGCTGTGCAGGGAAGAGATGCTGACAGGCTTACAAGTATTCTGTGGGGCCACCAGAGGAAAAAGGTGATTACTCTCAGGATCTACTGTTCCTGATGCATGGCAGAGCAAGCTTTTCCGGAAGGAAGAGATCCTAATCTAGTGATGAAAACCCTGTCCTGTGGTGGAGAAAAGCATCTTGTTTTACATAGACAAGTTTTGTTACCATATTGAAGTTCTTCTAACTGGTTATTCGCTCACACAGCAGGCAGACTAAGCGTGCACTGCACAACTTCTGAGTGTTAGCAGCAGCGAGCAGTGCTCGGTGACTAAGGGCTTCCTTCCAAACTACTCTTGCCTGCTTCAAAGGAGCTGAAGGTTCACACTGCCATACCATGTTGCCTCAATGTCCTTTTCCAAAAACTGAGAGTCAAACTAGAAGAGAAAACTGCACACTTAGAATGAGCTCAATATTTTATCAGGAAGAAAAGGAATTAAAGCTCTCCAGGTTTTTGTGTGTTTTTATTATTATTACAAACAGATTGGCCTTGGCTGAAAAACTGACTTACTGCTGTATTAACTCAAGACATTTATTTGTTACTGCTTCTCTTGGCTTTTGTGTGCTCGTTAACACAATGTTTTCTCTCCTCCTCCAACTTGGAGCGTGACTTGCTTCATTGTCACCCCCAGCAAATAACTTAATGCAAGAAGCCTCATCTCAACTACCATTTCAGATAGTTTTTCCTTGCAACACAATCAAGTCTTTTCTGTGCTGCTACTACAGGCAGGTCTTTCAAAGACACTAGAAAAACAATTACAGTAAAGGCTGAGCATGACTTCAAGGTAAGTAGCTTACAAAGCTGGCTTTGCCCCACTCTTCTTACTTCAAAGTCCATTGACAGCAACTCCCCAAGGAAAGCTCCCTTATGATAGGATTCCCTCTTTGACATTTCATGGTTTGATTCAATCTTAAAGGTCTTTTCCAACCGTAATGACTCTCTGATTCTAATAATTTTTGTCACTTGTCCGGAACTTTACTTAGGCACACCCAACAAATACACTGTTTTGTACTGATCAACTGTAGTGATTTAAGTCAGTAACGTCTCTCAGATGTGTGAAGGCACCATCATTTCTCTTTCCACTCAGCGGCTGCATTAAGTTCTTGTTCAAGATGATCACTACTGTTAGAAGACAGTCCAAATATGAAGTCTTCTGGCAGTGACTGTGGAGTTATCTGTGCTAACTGGTCATCGTAGGAACCAAGAGTCCACAGCTTCTCCAATTCATAAGTCTCTCGTGTCTCTGGCAGCATGAAATGCACCACTATGTTACCTGCACAGAAATTATCATGAGTTGTAAAACAATACTACACTTCAGCTGCACAAAGACCTCTCTTCTTCCACCCTCATTCTGGCTAGATATAACAGGCCATCTGACATTTCAAGTTGCTGATTCCACTTCTTGAACAGTATTAGGAACTGGTTAGTCCTTCGAAAGACTTCAAGACTACAGCCAAGAGAATGAGCGGGGATAATACTCTGGTTTAATTCAAAACACCACCCCAGGGACTTCAGAGCAACAAAGCTATGACTTATACAGGACAACTGGAAGTAAAATAAATTTTACTTGAAGGAGTTTCCTCCCTAAGGTTACAGATAGACTTTCAGGTTTCCTATATTACCAACATTTGACTATAGCCAAATAATTTTCCTTAGGTGTGTTGCTCACATTTCTCGTGGTTTTTTTTTTTTATACTTTGTATACTATACTTTGCTATACTTCATACATGTTATACTTTTAACTTTGCAATAAGGTTTTTGTAGGCTTTCATTCTACACAAACAATAGTAGAGAAAATTAATTCCAGCTGCACTTCTAATGCACCTTTTTCTAGTTATGCCCTTAGACTTTTTTTCACTGACCATCACTGGCTGCAGTCCTCCTCACTCACCCATGCTCTCTTTTAAGCCCCCCCCAAAAATTAGAGGGTGAGATTCTAGAGCTAACAGTGAAGAAGAAATGCTTTCTGAATGCAGACTCTCTTATGTTTGTGTAGAGAGTTTCACACTTGTAGAATGAAAAATTGAACTCCATTTGTTAGGACTGAAGTTTTACCCTGTGTCATGGTATGATCTGGGCAGCAGAAAAGTCTGTTCAACAATTCAGTGCTAGGAAAGCATACAAAGAGCCTCCACTCACCAAAACAAGGATTATATAAACCTGAGAACACTGACTGAAGTACGTTTTTTTTCCCACTACTGTTATCGTCAATTTATTAAGACCCGTTTTAGCCACTGCTAAAAGCACTGCTTTCTTCTCTGTGCCAATGATCTTTAGTGAAAACGTATTTAGTATCTCAAGCAACAACTGGAATTCCAAAATATCAGAGTACTGCAGACCCTCCACAGCACCCAGGTTCATGGTGAGATGCTTCCTTCAACAAAGAGCTCATGCAGAACTTCATATTGGTCAGATTCACAAAATATTTACCAAAATCGATGCACAGCCAGTCATCTGTCTCCTTCCCTTCAATCCGAGTATGAGGATCACTTTCTTCTTTGTGGTGCTTGTACTGAGAGAGAAGCAATGGCAAAAAAAAAACAACTTTGCTTTTATTCAAAAGCACTCAAATATAACAGGTAAACTGGACTTGGCCAAGTTGTTTAGTATTGCCTTCAGTCTGAAATTAGATTACCTAATTTTGGTTCAAGTGTCTGCACAAAAAGAGAGTAAGTTTTCACTGCTACAAGTACATGTAAGTAGACGTGGATTTAGTATCAAACCTAGAATTCTAATGCTCAGCATTCTTATAAAGTTATCCATGAATTTTATAGGTGTCCATTTTTTCCTAAAGATGAACACTATTACTTAGTGTTAGTCTTTCAGTTATAGGTTTCCTGTAACAGCCTATGCCACTTAATTTTGTTTTGTTTCAGATACTTTTCATCATTGTTTTACATTGGCTAGTTAAGGATGTAGAAATGGAGATGCCAAGGTTATCCTCTTCTCAGATAGGGGAGTGGGGAAAAAATGACTTTCAACCCATGCTGTGAGAAAGGCATCCAGACAAACCTCCTGTCTCTTGAGAGCAGGCTCTCAACACTGACTACAAGCTGTGGGAGGAAATATGACTGACATGCAGGTTTCCAAACTATGAACCACTGTGAAAGAGGGGAGGGGGTAGGTCAAAGCTACCCCCTGCAAAAGCTCAGCTAGGGCAAGGTAGTTTGTCCCCTATCCAATATGGTAGTTTTCAAAGATTCCATCCTGAGAGGCCCAGCTCTGCCCAATTAGTATATTAAGAACCTAAACACCCACCAGAGCTGAAGAAATTCAACAACTAGAGGCTTAAAGTACTGCCTCTTTCACATCTGGCCATAGCCTACTTGTTTCTTCACAGGAAGCATCAATATAAAAAATAAAACAAAGTCACCTCTGTCTTCACAGAGGTCATTTACTCAAATTTCCACCTCATTTCTAGTTTAATCAGTCAAACAAAAATACGGAAATCTTTTTCAAGCTGAAATTAAAAAACAAACTAAACATTTACTTCAGCACAAGGCCACAAGGAAACGGAGACTGAAACTGCATGGCTCTAACAGACCTTCCTGCTATGGAAGACAAAATACAAAATAACAGGTTGTAGCAGCATAGCTGTCTAGCAAAACAAAATGCAGCTGTTCCTGGTCCTTCCCACACAACACTAGCTGCCCGACAATAGCCCCAGTTTGCAAACCAAAATAGAGAACTCAGAACTAGTTCTACCTTCCTTTCTTTAAGATACCTTGTGAGATATCCTCAAAAGCAGGTACTTGTCAAGGACTCTCTGAAAGTAGGCTTAAAATACTAACAAGCCCAGTATGCACTGCCATCAGCTATGTGACAGGGGCTGGAAAGACTCACCTCCACTACAAGCTTTCTTCAGCCCTGTCTTTTACAGCTGTGCAATGGTAAATAGGTGATAGTAAGGGGAAGTGTTAGTTTCTTCCTCTAGCATGAAACCAAAGGGAAGAGATAAGCAATAGTTGGGACTTTGCCATTTACAAACTACTGGAATAAAAGCAGCAAGACCTCACACTACGTGTGAATGGCTCTGCATCATAGTGCAAGTAAAGCATGTGTGATTGTAATGTGGAGATGCTGTAGGTAAAGCCTGCCAGCTGCCCGGCCCTCCTCAGCACCTGCTCTGCTTGACATCTTAAGCTTCAGCTTACTTCGCCTAGAAAACTCTCCATGCCAGATAAGCTCAGCCACTCCTGCATACTTGGCCGGGCTGCCCGGTTTCTCAGTTGCCCAGGAGGATGCGTGTCTCCCCAGAGGCTCTGCCCGTGCCAAAGAGCTGCTCTTGCAGCCACCAGAGGGAGCCGCCAGAGGTAACGCAGGGATATTTTTGCAGGGTGGGTGGTATTCAGTGATCTCTCCTGGTTTGGGGGAGATGGACAGCTGTTAAGACTAGCATGTTAAGGAAGTAGTAGAGTAAAAATTAAGCACTTAAATTTAGTACATTCAAATCACACTAACATAAGAAACTCCTGTCACCTGCTCAGAAAGGCACTGAACAGCAATACCATCTCACTCTCAAGTCTCACAGCTGAAACCAACAGGACTGGAAGGAAGAAAGTAAAACTAAGAACAGAGGAAAAAATGGTGTCAAGAAGGGAATGTGTGTGAAGAGAAGGCAAAGCATAGGTTGAGTACAGAGAGCTGACAGATGGGGGACAGTCATACTCCTCAGACTGTGCTCTCTTAACAGTCAGCTGGCCCATTCTGGCCTTAAAGTTTCTCCTTCCTAGACTGGTCCTTATGTCTAAGCTCCATCTGTATTTTTTTTCTGACCTTTCTCGTTGTACTGAAAAGTTCACATTCTGCCAAAGCCAAACAGTGCAAGATTGCTGTGCAACGATGGCTGCTGCTGCTTCTTTCCTCCTCTACATGGACAGAATGGTGACTATTAACTTGCAGTTTGTCTTAGCAAGCCCATGAGGGGATCTGTGCCTCCTACCATAACATCTTTTTTCCAGCCTCATGATTTACCTGAGAACCTGGAAGTCTTAGAGATTAGGGCTTGAGAGTAGTTAAATTAAGCTATTTCAACTGAGTGGGAATAGCTATGAAGCTTGCTGGATGGAAGACAAAAGTGGACACAGGTTGTCATCACCATTTCACATCACTCTTGTTCTAGCCACCAAATTGTGCTAATGTCATCACCACTCTAAATACAGTGAGGTCTGTTTTTTAAAATATTAGCTCTACATTTTAAGTAATATTGTTAAGAGAAAAAAAAATAGTTGGGAGGTGTATTAGGGACTAAATAACACAAGGGTAATTTAATTTTGTCTGGTTCACCCCCTGTATGTGCAGTCCCAGGGAAATTCCTTTCACATTTAAAACCATTCCTCAAAACCCAGAGAGGGCAGCAGGAACTGTCTTACCATTTTCAGCATGTAATTTGCCATTGCATGGAGATGTCGTGTTGAAGATCCACTCACAATTACAAAATAATTAGAGTAATTTATTTCTGGAGGTAGCTGGATGACACAGATGTCTTTAGCATTTTCTTGCCTCAGCAGAGCTACAGCAAAGTCAATATTGAACTTGGGAAGAACAGTATCTGGAACACAGAGAAAAAATAATACAGTGGCAATTTGTCTTTTTAATTGCAAAAAACCCAACCACTTAAGAAGACATAAAATGGCAATGAACTGAATTATAGCCTAAGCTGGACACTCACTATAGAGGCTGGTTCGATACTGACAATGCAATGTGAACTGCAGACTTTTAAAAATAATTCTTAAAACCATCAAAGTTGAGAACTAAGCTAAGTGCAAACAACACTATCACTAGATATAACAATAGATAGCAAAGTTCCTGTTAAGTAACTTATTTCTTGTCGTTACTACTTAAGAGTCAATGCTATCATCAGACATATGCCAACTAAGATGAACGAAACCTAAGTATTTCAGAAGACATTATAAACACAACAGCCAAATCTAAAAATGTTTCAGACAATGCTCTTCAATGGGCCTGTGATAATAAACGGTGATGAAATGGACTCTAAGATCTTAAGTATACGAAATCAATATATTGAAAATGGAGCTGAAGTGCAGTGTGAAGGTACTTTCTCTCTTCACACTGAGTTAAGCCGCTTCTCTTCCCCAGCCTGCTCTACCACGGAGCACTGCAATATTGTAGACAAAAGCTTTAGTCCTTCAACAGTTTAAGCAAGCCAGCTTAGAAACTAGTAAATTTATGCAACTACCTCCTGTTCACACCATGAAATCAGTTTATTTCTAATTTGCCCTAACTGGGTAGATGCAACTTATGTGCATACTTAAGGAATAATTGGAATCTGTCAGCAATGCCTGCCTGCCACTATAAAGAGAACCAAGCATCAGCACAAAGCCAAGCTTTATACTTACCAATATAAAGAAAAAGCCAAACAAAAGAACAATAGCTACATATAATTATATGCATGAATGGGGATATGAAATTGGATCAGATCTCTGTAAAGGAAAGCCTTTGAGCTTAAGGACTCATGCACTCTTTCAACTTTGCTGTGGTCACACATGCAGAAAATTAGCAGTGGCCACAGTTCCTCCAGACACAGCAGTTACAAAAGTTAAATATTTGCCTGGTAGCCACATGTGAAGTCTCTAGTGCCTACTTAGAGAACAAATGGTCTGAACAACCCCAGGCACACTGCCACACTGAATGTCACGGTCAGATCTAGGCTAGAGAAGATTTGCAGAATAGCTACAACAGACCATCTCTGGGCACACAACGCTTATACCCACAACCAGTCAGCACGTTACTAAAACTGTTAGCCATACAGGGAAACTTCCTTGCCAGTGTACATCAGAGAAACACACCTTCCACTCGGCACCACTCTCCTTACAAAGCTCCCAGTACATATCCGTGTGCGGACACGGACAGACCTGCTCTGCGTTAGCAACCGAGTCCCCACTTGACCTCAGGCCTTCGAAGATGCTGCTGCCCCAGCACACCCTGACCCTGCGGTCTCAGCCAATGTAAAGGCGATTCCGCCGCAGCAGGCACCCTCAGGATCCTCCCGCGGCTGCAGGACGAGGTTCCAGGCCTCCCGAGAAGTCACCTCCTTCGCCACACGTTCCGCTCCCCCTCGGGCCCCATTTCCCAGGGCCGGTGCGCAGCGGGCGGAGCCTCCTGCCCGCGCCCGGGCCTGCCAGGCCGCACCC